CGAAAACATGGATACACGCGTTCTGTCCTGCGGAGCAAAGACTTCCGAAGCATGCAAACTTTTCCGCGGTTCGGAAACCATTATAAAACCGAGCGGCAAAACTTGGTTTATTTCGATCGGAAATGAACATCCTGAGAACAGCTTTTTCGGAAAACAAGGGATTAGAAGAAATGTTGGTTTTTTCCAGGTTTCTACTCAAACAGTCTTTTGATCGTCTTTGTTTTATACTTCTGTGCTAGGGTCTTTAATAACCGAAAAGCACACAGACATATTTCGATCAGACATGTAGACCTACAAAGGAAATTTCTGCCGACAACACTTGCCCACGAGCCCGTGCTTGGAATTCCAAATTCCCGGTTATTGTTTCTGTTGTCTTTTTTTTTGCCTGCACGCTTCTCCTTTGTTTTCAAGAGGTTTGCAGGAGGGTTCTTCCAGCTTCTTTTTTTGTGGCTACCGGCACGCCGTCTGTAGACTCACAGACCACCCCGGACCCTCATGCCCTCACGCTTGAGCTCCAGCCAGTCAAGGCCACATCCACTGCAAAGAACTGCAGATACTGCAGAAGCTCCGCTTTCCACTCAAGGACCTCGCCCTGCACCGGTTCCTCTGTAATCCGCTCCCGCGGGAGATAAGGCCCCGAAGGCACCCTGCCCCACCTTCGAACACGGCGTAGGTCTCCATGCAGCAACAAAAGGCGCTTCTTCTTCTGAGATTTGCCATGCACTATGATGCACTGCAGTGCTCGCGAAAAAAGCCAACTCCCAATGCATCTTGAAACCGTGGGTGCTGCTGAGCGGCATCGTCCACCAGCCCCAGGGGCCCCACATGAAGCCGAAGCCTTTTCCTTTGCCTTCGCGCCTCAAGGCCCGTGAAGCTGAGACCGTGTAGCAGAACCAGTGACGTGCAGCCAGTGGGAACCGGGGAGTCTAAGCGGAGGTCCTCGCGCCCTTGGGCTTGGGAGAAAATGCCATCATCCCGGCAGCCTCGGACGCCAATCCGCTTCGCTAGCAGCTAGGAACCACAAGACCTTGCTGATGTGCTGCAGTGCGATTTCCGCCGCACTTTGCTCAGCCTGCAAGTTGCTTCTGCAGGGTTAAGCACCGACAGTGGCATGTCACTTCTCGCGTAGTGCAGCTCGGCCCGGCCTCCTTCTTGTTGAAGCCAAGGTGGCCAACGTACCGCTGGCCTTGGCAAGGCACCAGCCAGGCCGCATCTTCCGGCAGATACACCTTTTCCAAAATCTTGCTCAGATGATCAAATGCCGCTGAACGGCCTGAAGAAAATTCAGCTTGACAATGCTTTGATACCTTGCGCGCCGTCAGAGTAGGCTGAATCAGTCCAGCCAAGTCCTGCATTCGAACCCCAAACCCTTGATCGATGCCCTGACAAGTCGGAGCACTGGCTCCCAAACTTGTTCGTGGTGTACGCAATGTCCTTGGCCGAGACAATAGGCAAAATGGGCCCATTTCGTGGCAACAGGCGCGCAACGTAAGCCGTCAGGACACCATGTCACAAAGACACAGAAGTAGAAGCCTCAACCTGAATTGCCGAGCGTGGCTCGATTTTGGCGGCTGGCCGCCGGCAGCACCTCTGGCAAAAGTTGTTGAGCTCCTGGCATGCAGCAATAGCAAGTTGTGAGTTCATGTGCCACTCGCAACGTGATGGCACTGACTTTGCTGAAGGTCGCGCAAGAGCACGGGCAGCTGAACATCTTGAATTTGTTTCAGCCAAGCAGTCTCGGGTCCGTCTTCGAATCTGTAGTGGGCCAAGGGCCCATCCGCATCGCTCCTCAAAGATCCGAGCTCCGTAGGGCGCCTGGATGTCGGCCCAGGAGTTCTTGGGCTTGGGATTGCGGAGCTTGTTCACCTGCTGGATGCCGTACCCGCCCAAGGGCGCGTGCTGCGTCGCGGCGCGGCTCTTCGGCACCTGATGGTCTGGCTCGACGGGCCTGCGAGCACAGCAGACACAGGGACAAACAGAGAGAGCTGGACAGAGAGAGAGAGAGAGAGAGAGAGAGAGAGAGAGGGAGAGAGAGCGAGAGGGAGGGAAAGAGATTGGAAACACCACCAGCCTCTGGGCCATCTGCCGTGCGTCCGCGCAACCGCCCGCACCGCGCCCCTCACTTTGCTGCCTGCAAGAATTGCAAGAGCAGCCAAAATATGCCAAGATGCCAACACTTCACCTAGAAATGCAGGGCATCATCGAATCGATCTCTGCGCAATGCAAAAAGTGGCTGTCGTCCGGAAAGAGAAGGAGCCAACCGCGGCTGGCGCACCGATTGGCTCCTTGCTTCGGCTGCGTGTTGCGGCCAAGGACCGCGGCCACGGGACCTATGGGTGCCAGGCGACCGGACGAGGCCAAGAGACGAGGCCAGGCTCACAGTTTCATCCATCATCCATCATCAACAACAAACACCATCAATGTCGTCGTCGTCATAATCAATTGTCGTCCGCATCATCAATTGTCGTCGGCATCATCAATGACGTCGTCAGCATCATCATCACCATCCATCCCTCCATCCCTCCATTCCTCCATTCCTGCATCCCTCCATCCCTCGATCCATTCCTCCATTCCTCCATCCCTCCATCCCTCCATCTATCCATCTCTCCCTCCATCCATCCCTCCATCCCTCCATCCCTCCCTCCCTCCCTTCCTCCATCCATCCATCCATCCATCCGCCACAGACGTGGATTATGAGGGGCCGTCGCCTATTAAGTGTAGGTGGAGCTTCGCCCGAGCTCGGGAATTCTTGTTACTAGTACCTCGGATATATTCTAAAGGTCCAAAAGAGCTCAGCACCAGCCTGGACATGATAGAGCATCCTTGTTGCTGAGGCTGTGTCCTGCTCCGAGATCCTCCCTCACGAAGCCGGTCCCAACCACTCCACTTCTGACCCTCCTCAGCCTCAACCTTGACGTTGTAATTTTGCTGAAGCGAAGAACCGCCAACATACCAAAACCCTTGCCAAGAAGTTCTGTGTGCTGGAACCGATGGGTCCAAGTAATCATGATGGACAGTGGAAAAACATGGCAAAGCCGTACAAAACGTGGCCACATGTAGAGGACATCCGTGCTTGCAGGACATCCTCTCTCAAGAAGCTTGGAGATCAGACTTTCGGGTTGCGGGAAACTTTGACATGTAAGGGCAGGGAGGTTGGAGGTTCACACTGCATTGGCTGGAGCATGTCAGCAAGGACAATTTTATGTCTTTGTCTTGCTGCACCGACAATCTCTGCAAATTCACCTGGGGCGCAAGTGCTGCCCACCTGCCAGAAAATCCTCTGCCTTGAAAACACCTTCCGATGTCTCTGCCATGTGCACAGGGCAGGCTGAGTTGCTGGCTTGCGGAGACCCACGCAGACGGACAGGCCCTAAACCCTAAACCCCCTATAACCCTAAACCCTATACCCTAAACCCCCTATAACCCTAAACCCTAAACCCTGCACCCCCTCGTCTCCTCGTCGAAGCCGCCGGTTGCATTGAACCTCACATCAGGGAGCCAAGAGCCCTCAGTTCAGGGATGTACCTAAGGATGCCTATAAGGATGCTACTATAGAGTAGCTATAAGGGAGTGCCTTCTTCTGGGCTACCCGGGCATTTAGGGTTCAGGGTTTGGAGGTACCGGTACCCTTTCTCCTCTGTCCGACTATTCATAACGCAGTAAAATAGAACCCCGCATCGGGAGGGATCTAGTGTTCGGTCGTTCGGTTCTCATGGACCCCAAACACCTGGGATTGGGAGACCACAGGCAAGCCCTAAGGTCCTAAAACCCTGAATCCGAAGCAGTGAACCCTCACGACCTTGGGGCTATAAGACTCGAGGTTCAGGTTTGCCGATGATCATATATGTGATAGCCCCACATTCCTGAAGGCATGAACAGGGCACAGGCTTTACGAAATTGGCAAAGCATGTCCTTTAAGCACACACGTGGTCACCCCAATGGCCCAACTACGACTTGGAATACGCCGACGGCACCTTACTCATGTCCCGGAACTATACCGCAAGTGCAGGCAGCCAATGCAGGCATTTGTAGCTATTTCAACGGTGATGCAAAAAGCCGGAAGAACTCAAATTCGGAAAGCACCCAGCCTCAGCGAACAGCTCCAGAACTTCACTTAGTGATGGAAAAAGCCGTCCGACACCGCCGGCGCTTGTCGAAAAAGCCTATAAGAGAAGCCCCTTCAAGAAGGTACGCATGTTCCAGAGTTTTTATCCCACCCTCATCTACGGGTTGGAACACCAAACCCGCCGCCTGGTTTGTGGCTTCCAGCATGGGGGGGGGGAGGGGATGCCATGATCTAGTTTCAAGACCCCATGACCTCTAAACGTTTGGGACCCTGTACCTTACCCAACAGCCCTGAATGCGTGAGGGGCTACAGATGAAGACATCTTCAAGTAAAAACGTCAGAGCCTCAATGACTCGAAGCCGTCACCCAAGGCCTGAAAACTCAAATGCCACAAAGCGGCCTAAGCTCTCAAACCTGGAGCCAATAATCTAAAGCCCTGGCCTGAATCCTAAACCTGTCCAAGGGACCACTCGCGACCCATCGCGACAAGTCCTCCGCTGATCCTGGGAGGTTGTTTGAGGGCTTGGGTCTCCGACTTCTCAGAAGGCCTCCACAGGCATGATGAGGGTTTGGCTTGTTCAGATCTGACTATCTAGGGTGTATACTAGCTGCAGCGATGATGGAAGTAGTACTGAAAAATGACCGTATGTAGAGACAGACGCTTCTTTTACAATATCATTTGTAGCTTCCCTGAAGTTCTTGAATTACGTTCCTGCATACCAACAGTGCAGATAATGCCCCACTTGAACTGATCTGAGACAGTGCTCAACTAGAACCTAGAACAAACAAAAACCAAACAACCTAAACCCTGGGGTTAGGGATTCAGAAGGGACTGCCCTGTGGCCAGCAGGATTTTGGGGCGGCTAGGGTCCCTCGAAGTCTAAAGTGGGCTTGGGCTTGAGCTGGTCAACGAACTCCAGCGATTATCGTACCCTGCGCCCTAAAACCACCCAAGCCCCAGCAGTGCCCAAAACTAGAACCGGCAACACTCCGCCAATGTCAGCAAGTCGCGTCGGGATGAAGTCTGACTCGTCATCGAACCACTTGAAATCCGCATCCTCAGCCGTAGCTTGGGTTCTAGGGTTTGGGGGGCGTTCAGGAAACCCTAGCCTAAGCCTAACTAGGGTTCAGGCAAAGAAGGATCCAGGATTAGGGTGTAGCTTTCCTGGGCTTAGGTGCGGGCTGGTGTTTGTGCAAGAGCTTCCTGCGGAGTATTTGGGGACCACAACCCATTATATATATATATATATATATACATACATACATATTATATATATATATACATATATATATATATGGTTATATGACTTTGGGGCCGTTTTGAGTCTCGGGTGAAAGTTTGGGAGGTTAGAGGATGTTGTCCCCTCAGCGTGCGGGGCCCAGATGCTTCACAGATGCCAAAGCAAGGACGAGTTTTCCCGGGGTCTGTCCGCACGTGCTTTAGACGAGGGAGCCCGAAGGAAAGGCCTTACTAATGTGTCGATTCTTTTTGCTACTTGAGTCAGAGGCCATAGCATGTTCCACCCACGTGGCCCCCTAAACCCTAACCCCTAAACCGACGCCAGAGTGCACATAACTCACCGGCCCAAAACCCAGGAAATCAAAGTTGGACTATTACGCTGCTCAAGCCCTAGACTCGAAGCCGCACAGTCGAGCAGTGCAAATAAAGTATCTACACACAAGCACCCTGCGAACCCTAAAACCCTGGACCCTAAACACGCCGAGAACAGAAACTGCGACAACACAGAAAGTGGTGCAAATCGAACATCGTAAGAAGAACGATGAAGTCATCCCAGCAACATGTGCATGCGAAAACCATTCAATCTATAGTATTCGGCACTTGAAACCCTACTAATTCTGGTACTTAAAGGCGGGATGAAGCCAGGAAGCTTGAAGGAACCCCATAGAGGTCTTTTATTTAGGATCGCGCCGCCTGACTTCATCCCATCCTTCGCCGAGAGGCTAGAGTGAGATAGCACTTGGCGTTGACCTGCTGTCTGCTCTGTGTCTTGGAGGGGTTACCAAAAAGTATGATTTAGGGCTTATAGGGTTTAGGATTTAGGGCCTCAATCCCAGACCCTGAAAGTCCAGAGGTGCCTAGCTTTCAACCTGAGACTGTGCAAGGCTGTAGGACATGTGGCCTTAAAAAAAAAAAAAAAGCATGTTCAAGGTTTAGAGTCTGAGGGTTTAAGGTGTAGAGATAGCGGTTGGAGGGTCTTGGGCTTGTGCGACTTAGGGTGCTTTCGGGTCTTAGGGTCGGGGTTGGAGTTTCGCTGTTGCCATGCAAGATCGTGTCTTTTTACTATAGACCTCCCACTAGTATCTCAAAGTCCTTGGGGTTACATTACAAGTATACACTACGTAGGCACAAACAGCAGCTTATTGAGGTGATGATTGGATTGAGTCATGTGATCGAGATTGCAGGGTCTATAAGGGTTACCTGCAAGTACCGGGTCCTGCTTGTTGCAGGGTAACTAACTTCAGCCCTGATGCAAAGTTCATAGAGGCACAATGCAGAGTTTACCTCAATGGTTCGCATAATAGGAATGCTGTCACTGCTGCAGTCCATGGCATATACCAAACCCGGATCCCGAAATCGGAAATCCTCAACCCGTTCAGCCGAGCAAAAGCACGTGGCAGGTCAGTCCGAGCCAAACAGCCCGAACCCCAAGCCGTACATTCTGGGATTAAGGTAAAGGGCTTCATGGACACCTGAGATTACGAACGCATTCGGGATTGTAGTTGGCATACAAGAGTCTCACATCCAACGTAATTAATGCAAGCGACCAACTATGAGAGAGACTTCAAAGCCCTGATACTGAAGAAAACGAACCTTAAATCAGATTCAAGCCATCTGTAACACTGTAACGTAAGGTGCCTTCCATGACTAAGGGGTTTTGGCCTCTGAAGTCACAGGATCCTTGTCATCTGCATTGCTATACATCGATTCCCGAGCCCCACAATCCCTGAATGCTAATACCTTACACCCAAATCATTGTCCACTTCCTAAGTTCCAGAAATCTTCAAGCAAGATCCTTGAATACCTGCTTCTGCAAGGAAGACGAAACGGAACCCTTCGAGACTTAAAGGAAGCCTTAGAGAATCCCTTCGGGTTGAGCCTGTGAGTCCGCCCTTTCGTCGAAGGTATCGAGATCCAAGTCCGTGATGGCAGGCACGACCATCCGACGAGGGTTCAGGCCTAAGCGGATCTCTTTGGGTTTAGGGTTTAGGGTTTAGGGTTTAGGGGTTCAGGGGTTTAGGGTTTAGGGCTCCTTGGGGCGGATGTTGAGGGCTTCGAAGCTCGGGCCTTTGGGCTTCAGGGCTCCAGGCTTTCCCCTAAACCCTAAACCCTAAACTCTAAACCCTAAGCCCTAAACCCTAAACCCTAAACCCTAAACCCCCAAAATGGTATAGCCCAAAACTGCTGCCACGGCACGCACTTGTGCCAGGATCTCCTGGAAAGCGTTCTTTTGTTAAAAGCGGGGCTTTCAAAGTGGGTGCCTTAATCACTGAAAACGGAGTCTGCGGGGATTAGAGTATAGTTATATGGGGACGATAAGGGGTACTATTGAATTGGGGATTGCATTATAGGGGCCTTTATTACCGGAAGAAGCGTTTGTGGGGTGTATTCGATTAAGAAGCCCCATAGCAGGTTACAGGGCTTGGTGCTTGGGGTGCAGGCTTTAGGGGTTTTTATTGGTGGTTTCGGCATTTTTGTGTAAATGTTCGGGGGGTTAGGTATGGATAGGGTTTGGAGTTCAGGGCTCAGGATCGCAAGCTCGGAGTACCTTTGCCCTTCCCTAGATCCCAGACATTCCTAAACTTTAAGAACCCCTACAGCTGCCGAAGGATCACCCGCTGAGGATCCTACCGGGTACATCCTCCTCCGACATTCCAAACATGACATGCCCGGAGGCTCGAATGGCTTCGCAACCAAGCAGGTTTTAAGTCGGGGCTTGTTAAACTACACCCCTACTTAGCGTCTCCCTCAATAAGGTCCCCTTTAAGAGGGCCAGAAGTAGTGACCCTTTAAGGGGCCTCCCCAAGACTACCTAGGAAAACCCCAACTTCGCCCGCCATGGTCCTTCCAGAAACCCATCGCCCAGAACTCCAGACCCCAAAGCTGGAAAACTACCAGCGACCTATGAAGTTTAGGATTTGGGGCTTGACTGTTAGGATTAATAAGTTTTAGGGGTTTAGGGCGGCCTTAGGGTTTAGGTTTAGGGTTCAGGCTTTGGGGTTTAGGGAGTTTTTGCTTTAGGGTTTGGGTTCTGAAAGGAACGCTGTGGGAACCTGTTTGTGTTTGTTCCCACTGCCTTACCCAGCGGCAGAGACTATTCGACAGCCACGATTGGACCAAGAAACAACCCAGAAGGTTTTAGAGCTTCCTATCGGCTTATACACTGTCTGCCAAAACCCTAGCCCTAGCCGAAAACCGAAAACCCAAACCAAAAACCTCAAGCCAACGCCCGAAGCCTAAGCTACAGCAAACCACCCAAATCCCATAAATCTAACACACCAAGCTTCTGAAACATCAAATGAAACGACTGAAACCTCCAAAGTTTGATGAGTTTGAGACCCCTAAACCCTAAACCCTAAACCCTAAACCATAAACCCCAAACCCTCCCAAATCAACTCCGCGCCTGATGCCAATTCGGCTGCGGCGCACAATGGCAATCAATAAATGCGATGACATCACCGCGGGCCTGCAGCTGTAACTAGGGCTCTTCTTGCTTGTTGGGAACTAAAGGTTAAACCTTTAGGGTCTAGGGTTTAGGATTGGGTTCAGGGCTTAGAGGCTAGGGTTCAGGGTCGGTGTATAGTAGTCTTATACTCCCAAGTGCTTACAAGTCTTTTACTCTATGCTCGTGAACGGTTTATGCAGGACATGAATGTGGATCCTGCTATTTTGGCGACCTGAACGAAACCATCCTGTTACGTAGCTTTTTTCCTACATCAAGTTTTGTTGCCAGTTTCATGCCATTGCTTTTCCGGGGTGAGCATTGCAACGAGGGCTGCTGCAGGGCTTTTTGAAGCCGGGGTTTCGGGGTGCGCGGTTTAGGAGTCTTGGGTTTGGGGCTCCGGCTCAGGGCCGATTCTTTCCGGGTACCGGCCATGACGCGTTTTCACGCAGGATTCTCAAACTCCCATGCGTAGCCCAAAACACGCAGTGACACTTAATGAAATGTAGGGCTTGTTGCAAGTATGCCCTAGACCAAATTTATTTTCAAGGCCAACAACTCGCTCTCCCTACAGTACATACCCAATCACTCAGAGAAGCGTAGGCGGTGCCGAGTTCAGGGCTCAGCTTGCGTTGGGTGGACTCCAATGTCCGTACTGAGATTACTCGCCCGGCCAACACCCTCGCCCCTAAACCCAAAACCCAACCTTAAGCCCTGTCCCCGGAACCTCAAGCCTGAAAGCCTGAAAGCACCATACAAACTAACTACACCAAAAATCCGAAACCTTCAACCTTAAGCGTTAAGTGAACGACATCTCCACACCCTCAGCCACGGAGTTCTCAGCATGATGCAGTCTTGACCGGGCTACAGAGCAACGGTCCTGGAAAGCCACAACACCGATAACCCGAATGTAAGCAGAGCTACCATCAACTCTCTGCTACATGCCGTCATGATCCATGCTGAGGTCAAGGATTGAAAACCCTAAACCCCAAAGATCTCAAAACCTCAAAACCCAGAAACCCTGAACCGCTTCGACCCTAAACCCTCACCTCCCGGCCACCGGTCAGCTTGGCGGCCATGAGCCCCGTTGTCGTTTCCTCCCCAGCTGAGCAGCTTGGGGTGCAGGGATGTTTATGGAATTGTGTGGGGCTTTATACGGGCCTGGTGAGGGTCTTCAGGGCTTCAAACGGTCTTTATAAGGCATCAAAATATGCCATAAGTGTGCTTATAGGGTCCTCAGAAATGTGACTGGGTTTGGTGCTTTTGCAAGGCAGCGTGCATCTTCGTCTAGAACAGTGTCACCACACACACACACACACACAAAACAACAGTTCCTACCAGTAGTAACGGCATAGGGTGATCCAATGATCCAAGACTTGGACTCCGGCTGTAGCGCCAGAATTTCTCAGGACTTAGGCAAGATTCTGGTTTATATAAGAAAATTTACAGAATTTCACTGGCCAAGCCAGGATACGAACTCCAGGTGCACACAAAATCCAGGAAGCCGAAAACCGAAATTACCTGCAATCCCAAACCCGCACCCATGGAGGGGGCGCTTCTTAGAGTCTGGGGTCCCTTACTTCATGAAGCAGCCCTGCAATCCGCATTTAATCCCCCAGACCTCCGGCCTAACGTCACACAACCGCGACGCCAAATCCGAACCCTAAATCTCACTCTGAACTCTCTTCAGATCCTTAACCGCAACCTCCGAACCCTACCTTGAACCCTGTAAAATAGAGACCCTGAAGGGCGAAGCCCTCAAAAGACAGAGCCCCCATACACCCTAGCCCTGAGCCCAAGCCCTACGAGCTCCAACCAAACCAAATATGCAGCTCCGAGGTTCCAGGCTCTAAGCGCCCGCCCAACAGCCCGAAGCCCTGTAAAACCCTCCATCCTCAACCTCTAAAGTCACTAAAGGTCAGGACCGAGGAGGGTTTTGCAGGGTTTAGTGCGTAAGACCCTACTAGTAACACGCGGGTCGCCCACGCCACATTTGCTGGCCAATCTCGTGTCCCACAACAGCTTTACAGAAGCTCAGTAGACCCTCAAAGAGCCCTGCATTCAAAAGCAGAAACATAACTGGGCCGAGGCGCATGGCGCAGGAATCGGACTTTTCCCTTACATTGCGGGTCCTGCTTTGAATCTACGTCTAGGGATTCGGGGTGTATAAACACAGAAACCTAAGCCCTAAACCCTAAACCCTGAAGCCCTTGGCATGTGGGGTTTGTGAGAGTTGGTTGGGTTTGAGGGGCTATGGCTGAGGTGGAGGGCTTCAGAAATTTAAGGACCGGAGCCAGGGACTAATGTAGGGGCCTTAAATAATCAGAATAGGGTTTAGGGCTCCTTTATAGTATAGTTACGATAAGGAGCCCGTCGGAATAATATAACTGAAAGAGGAAGAGCAGTGCCGTGCCTTGGGCATGAACGGAGCTTCCGATTCTAGAGATGGCACTGCAGGGTGGAGTTCGCTCAGGAATTTCGGCTCATCGGATTAAGGTTTAGACTTTTCTAATTACGTCTGTGTAGGGGCCTTCAGTCAGACATAGGATTCTGGGGATGTTTGTTGAGGGAGCAGTCGACAAAGCACACAGCGGCCCAGGGCACGAAGTAGGCTTCAGGTTAAGTAGGGTTCTACTTCAATCCAGTTCCAGCAAGCATAATGCGACCGATGTACTAATGGCCAAAGCATACTTCAACATCAGGTGTACTATGGGGCTCTGGAGCCAGGTGGCTTACAAGCACCGCCGGCGTGTGCAGTGGTGGGGCCCCGCCCGTCTGAGTTGAGGACGGGCGGGGCCGATCATGAAAGGCTTAGGGTTTAGGGCTTCGGGTCTTGACTTAAAAACCTGAAGAATCCTGAAGCCTGAAGGTTAGCTCCTGCGAGCCTGATGACCCGGACAGAATCCTCTTGTGAGCATGTACATAGGTTTAGGACTGAGGGCTGCAAACGTACGGAACGCTGCATACCTCTCGACGCCTAGCCGAAACCCTAAGCCCCAAGCTTGTGCCCTCCCGAGCCTCAAAGCCAATGCAAAGGCGTAGAATACAAACCCTGTGCAAACAGCGGCTCCCAGTACTGTGGCCTGTGGATCTCTTCAAAACTCAGAAACGCCCTCATGTGGTCAATGTGCCCCATTGATTTCTGAAGTGTCAGCGAGTGCACAGAGGGCTAGAAAATGCCAGGAAGCCCGCCGCACGATGAAATTCTAATCAAGCTAGACTGAACCATTCATCGGCTTTAATGCAGATGCTAGAGTACTTCTTGGAATTGCAACACACCGACAGCATCCTAGGCGACACTTCGGTTCCAAGCACTAGAGTTGTCATAGAAGCCGGGATGATTTGAACACAAGCCCCTAAGGATTCTCTTGACAGTCACGATGAACTATACCTTTTACCTGTTGTCCAATTTTTCCCTCCCTGATATTGCTTCGCAAACCTGCTTCATGCAATCGTGCTCTGTGCAGATGCAGCTTCAGTTAGGCTATGTCGTCTCGGAGCGCCCTGAAGCCGAAAGTAGACCATAAACCCTACACTCCAAACCGCATGCACCTGCACCCGAAATTTCTCAATCCGAAGCCCTCGAACCTACTCCGGAAAAAGTTGTCCAAAGAATCATATAAACCCACCCTTATTTAAAAAAAAACGCTCCAAGTTTTAAGGCCACTGATCTGAACCCTAAACCCTTGAAACCCTTAAAGCTAAACCCCTGAACCCCTAAAGCCCTAAAGCCCGTTACCCCTCAGACCTTAAACCCTAAACCCGAAACCCCTGAGCTCCCAAACCTTGAACCCCTACCCCTCCCCGCCCCTCCCCCGGCTCTGCGTCTGTGTTCCTGAAATGCTCCACAACACACTGGAACCTCTAACCGCCGTCTTACCTTTGAACCCGAACCCGAAGGTCCTAGCCCTGCAGGA